AATTCATGTTAATAAAATTATTATATTAATCAATCAAATCATTTTTAATTCGTATTACGTTGTGTTCTTATCAATATTCGATAGATAAAATTGGCACCCTGAAGAAGAAGTCTAAGTCCCAAAGTCTCTAATTTATGAATTTGAGCATCTGCTAACGGAAATACGAAATTTAAATTTAAAGCTTTACGTGACATTTTAGCATGTAGAATTTGGCATCTTCACCTCATTAGTATTTCAACCGATATATCAAAATAATTTATTTTATTACATCTTTATATTTATTGTTGACTATATCAATAAAATAAATGATGTCGGCTAGACATTTGAGATTATCGGTTGGAGAGGAAACAAGTGTCAAATGTTGCCATCGAGAGCTCCAAGTGGCATTTGAGATGCCGGTTGAAGTCGCTCCAATTCAAATACCTTATAAATATGATATTAAAACTTATAATGCCATGATTTAAATTAAATGTATAATACAAAACACTTGCATAACAATACTACTTCATTTAAATTTTGAGCCCCCAACATCAATTCCTTCAACAACAATTGAGGGCCCCACCGTCGGTGACTAATAAATAATCAAAACTAGATTATTAATTATTTACACCATCAACCTAAAAACATTTAATCGAAAGAAGTCGACTCCCCTGTCAAGACGATATCTTCTAGTACCCTCTAAGGAAGCATCACAATCCACGTGTCAAACCAATGTTGAATAAACACTAAAATAAAATAAAAATTTACACATATTACATTTTTATTAAGGGAAAAGTAAATATATAATATTAAAAAATTAGTTTGTATTCATATCTAAAATCAAATTATAAACATAGATGAAAGAGAAAAAAAATTTAAGTACCGATTGTAGTAGGAGTGAGCAGTGGTGATAGTGGTGTTGGTTGTGGGGGGTGGGGGTGAGGCGATAAAGAGAATGGTGGAAGGGGTGATGATAGGATACTGGCGGTGGTTATAGGGTGGAGGTGACGGTGGTGGTGGGGGTAGCAGGGATGATGGTGGTGGGGGCGGTGGGGGTGATATGTGGCAACAGTGGTAATGGCGATGATGGTGATGATAAAGGGCAGTAATGGTGGGTTGGCGGCAACGGTGGTGGTAATTGTGGGCCGGTGGAGGGGTGGTATGGTGGCAACAATGGTGGTAGTAATGGTGTGATGGTGGTGGGGGGGAGGCGGTGGAGGTGTTGGTAGTGGTGAGGCAGTAGGTGGGTGGTGACAACAGTGCTTGTTGTTGTGGTAGAGGTGGTGGTGGGGTGACGACGATAATGGTGACAATGGTAGTGGTGATGGTGGTTGGGGGGTGGTGGTGGAAGGGTAGTTTGGTGGTGAGGTGGGAGTGGTGATGATAGTGATGATGGTGATGGGGCTAGGGCGGGGGTGGTGGTGATGGTAGAAGTATTGGTGGAACAATTTTAAACATTATTTTTTTTTTGAAGTACTTATAAGAAACTGTAAGTATTAAAATTACTTTTAAAAAGTCATCTCAAACACGAGAAAATATTTATTACAACGGTAATACCATGTGGCAATGTGGTATCATTAACCAATAATACTAAAATAAATAAGTAGATGAATCTTACAAAAATCAATAACTGACCTGTCATATAAACAAACAAGTAACTCTCCACCCTACTGTCATGAAAGTCCAAGTGGGGTTCACCTTTCTCATTTGTGATTTTATTATTGGTTGATGATACCACGTCATCAATGGTGACATGGTATGATTGTTGCATTCAATATAACTCCTCAAACACATCTTTAGGAGTCTATTTTACCTATTAAATTTGGAATGTAATATTAGCCGTCGGATTAACTTTAAAATAAAATTTAAAGAAATTTCAACCGCGAATAGTAAAAGTCATTTTGTTTATCTTTTAAGATTTGAATTGTATTGTATTTTATTATATAGATTATTTTTTAATAATGTCCTTAGACTCGTAAAGATATCCCGATCTAAAATTTGAAGAATCTTTTCTAGTGCATGCATGCTAATCTTGACCTAATTTCATTATTTATTAGTGTTATTGTATCCTTATTTTGTAGTGTTATTATAAATTATTGGTCACACAACCTTCATCAAGAGGTAGGATGCTTAAGCAATAAGTTTTTAAGTCATTGATTTCATGAATGAGTTTTTCAAAATGATTTATTTTTTTAAGTAACAACCATTGGTTAGTCACATAAGTAAGAGCAGATCCAACCAAATAAACAAAAAATAATAATAACTAAACTAATAAATAAATAACTAAAATCCATGTTGTACAGCCAAGCACATATCATGCCCACCAAACTTCACTTCTTTATTGTTAAAAAAAAAAAAAACTTCACTTCTTTTAAAAAACTATTTATGTTTTTTTTTTACTATAAAAAAACTACCTCAACACGAAATTTTTAAACTTGTGACTAAGATATAAACTTAAATGTATGTAAATCATATGCGAATCAGGTACATCGGATCACCTTGAAGTTGTGTTACTCTCGATCTTGTAATTTCAAAGTGTCAACTACTAAAATTTTACCATCTAAACTATTAGAATCCTTCCATGTTTTCTTTTTCTTTTGTGATAATCCTCTTCAAATCTGAAATACATTGAATTGACCTTTGTAAGTTGGGTTGATAATTGAGTTAAATTTGTCGAGTTTATTTTTTTTAACAAATTTAAAAAATTGTTCAGGTTTGCTCACTTAAAAAATGAATCGAACCCAAAACAAGTTAAACTCAAGTCAAGTTTAAATAATTCGACTATTTTATATATAAACGAGTCAAACCTTTTTGACTTGTTTTGGATAAATGAGCCTAAAAAATTGTTTAAACTTAGTTTGTTTAGAAAACGAACCAAACACAAAATGAGGCGAACCCAAATAACTATGCTCGATTATTAACTCTATATGTAAGGATAAACCTCATATATCTGCAATCACTTGGCAATAGTCAATTTCAAACTTCACCTTAATACTAGGACGAGAAAGCGTAAGAAAATTGTCCTCCATCATTTTTCCATCCCCTGATCTATGTTTGCTAACATTTGGATTCAAATGCGCAAAAAATTATCCGATACGTATTCTCGAACTCAATGTTAGTTGAACCAAAGAAGAAATCAATTTCACAATCAATTGATTCAAAAGTTAGAAGTGCGTAGCTGTAAAACTTACAAGATAAGTCCCTTTCATTGCTTTAGAGATTTTGTTTGCGTCCAAGTCTTCCAAACAAAATGACCAACACTTCAATTGTTGTTCAATGTTTAGCAACAAGAAACTAAACTGTAAATGCCAAAAAAAAAAAAAACAAACTAGAATTTGTAATTGTTTATGGCAAACTTATACTCAAATTTAGCGTCAATTATTTTGTATGCTTGACATATTTATCATACAATTACGCGTCTAACACATGAAACAAATAAAAACCATATTTAGCTTTGGCTTTCCTCCGATTACCCAATTTTTTTTTTTAATATTTAGCTTTCTTCTAAATATGTGATAATTTTAAAATTCTTTTTTAGTGGTTAGTAAGGTCCGATACTTTAATGTTAATTCTAAATCTAATTAAATTCTTACCTTGAAATCACATTTTTTTCAAAAAAATCTCCCTCGAAAGCAAATTCTATTGAGAGACAATCATCATTACTTTCTTCCCAGATCATGGTCCCCCGATAATGGATCCGCTGGCTGGATGAGTAACCCAGATTTGTTTGCATCAACAAATCATATCTTTTTCAAAAAAAAAATTGAATTTTTGGGATTCAATCTGTTGGTATAAACAGTTCTTGAACATTCAAGCATTATTAGACCACAATCCAATTATTTCGTAAATTAGAGAGAAAAGCCAAATTCAAAAGCTAACTTACCTAACCTAACTCATTTTGGTAAGATATGACAAACAAACAAAACTCCAAAAACTAGCAAACAAAAAGAAAAAGAAGGTGAGAGAAGCTATATAACTTTTTTTTAATAATAAAATATTATTTAGATTTAATTTGTTAATATAAATTTATTATAAATATTAAATTGATAATAAAATATTAGAATCTATTTTTAATCAATGATCATAAATATTTAAAGGGTTAATTGCACTAAAGGTCCGCAAAATATGGTGTTTATCTCATTTGGATCTCCAATATTTCAATTGTATAATTTTAGTTCTTTAAAGTATTAAATATATTTTTATGTGTTCACTCAAACAGACAACTTTCAAATTACTAACATTTTTTTATTATTATAAACTTGTCACATGTGATACCTAAATATAGACAAAAAATAATTTGAGTAGCTCTCGACATAATTTCTACCAAAATTTTGATTAAAGAACTATCCAAATTATACATTTTTTATCATAAGTTATCGAAATTTTAATTAGGAGATGCTAAAATTATACATTTTTGTCAAGAGTTAATTTTTAAATAATTTTTTTTATCTATATTTAAGTATTACGTGATAAATTTATAATTAAAAATAATTAATAATTTAGACACCGTCTATTTAAGAGATCGCCTAAAAATATATTCGACTATATTAACCCATATTTAAATTAATAGATTAATTCTAAAAAACATTGAAGAGGAAGGAAACAACTCCGGTCTCTTTAAGGAACATGGGTTTTAATTTCACTCAACTCCCACCCCTGGATTTTTCTTTCTCTCTCACTCTTTGACTCTCTCTCTCACACACACTCACCTCCTCTTCAAAGTCCTAAATTCTAAACCCATGAAACACTTAAGCAGAAAACACACACACACACTCACCCACGCAATGTCAATCGCTTCCTCTCCTGAAACCATGAACAGATAACCAGAGAGAGAGAGAGAGTCACCCTAAGCAAATCACAGTCCATGAATGAGCCCATAAATCGCACTCCATACCTTGCACTCAATCTGAAAACCCACTGAAAAAAGACCACCACCCACAATGTTGTCAAAATCTAACCCTCACTCTCTCTCATCTCACTCTTACCTTAGTCTGCTCTACCTCTTTGCGTTCATTTTGCAGATTCTTCAATCCTTGCCCACTACACTCTCAGATCTAAACTCCGACCGCGCCGCCCTCTTAGCCCTCAGGTCCGCCGTCGGCGGCCGCACTCTCCTCTGGAACACTGCCCAACAATCCCCTTGCCAATGGGCAGGTGTTGAATGCGAGAACAACGACGTGACTGTCCTACGCCTCCCAGGAGTCTCTCTCTCCGGCCAACTACCACCCAACACTCTCGGCAACCTCACGAATCTACGCACTCTCAGCCTCCGCTTCAACGCCCTCTCTGGCTCCCTCCCCTCAGATTTGGCCTCTTGTACTCAACTTCGAAATCTCTATCTCCAAGGAAACCACTTCTCGGGTCCTTTACCGGACTTTTTGCTCACTCTTCATGACCTTGTTAGGCTTAATCTTGCTGGGAATAACTTTTCTGGGGAGATCCCATCTGGGTTTAACAATTTGACTCGTTTGAAGACTCTTTACCTTGAGAACAACCAGTTCTCCGGGTCAATTCCCGAGATTAGTGCCCCAAAACTTGCACAATTCAATGTGTCGTTCAATAATCTAAATGGGTCTGTACCCAAGAGTCTTGACTCGATGCCAAGTAGTGCATTTCTTGGGAATGTTTTATGTGGGAAGCCTCTAGATTCTTGTCCAGGTAATACAACTCCTGCAGCCACGGCCGGGACTGGAGGTGGTGGGAATGGCAATGTGAATCAGACTAAGAAGAAAAATGGGTTGTCTGGTGGTGCCATTGCGGGCATTGTTATTGGATCTGTGTTGGGTTTTATTCTGATACTTGCGTTATTGATAGTTTGCTGTAGAAAGAAGGATAGTAAGAAGGCGAGATCGGCTGATTTTGGGACATTTAAGCACCCAGAAACGGAGATCCCTGGTGAAAAGCCAATGGAGGCAGAGAATGGTAATGGGTATTCAGTTGCTTCAGCGGCTGTTGCAGCAATGACAGCAAATGGGAAGGGAGAGAGTGAGAAAGAAGGAACTAAAAAGTTGGTGTTTTTTGGGAATGCTTCGAGGGTGTTTGATTTGGAGGATTTGTTGAGGGCTTCAGCTGAGGTTTTGGGGAAGGGGACGTTTGGGACGGCCTATAAGGCGGTTTTGGAGGTTGGAACTGTGGTGGCTGTGAAGAGGTTGAAGGATGTGACCATATCTGAGATGGAATTTAGGGAAAAGATCGATTCTGTTGGAGCTATGGATCATGAGAATTTGGTACCTCTCAGGGCTTATTATTATAGCAGGGAGGAAAAGCTTCTTGTCTTTGATTATATGGTCATGGGGAGCTTGTCTGCACTTTTGCATGGTGAGACTTTGTCCTATGATTACTTGCTCCTTTTCTTCTTTTCCAGATTTGTAGATGTGATTTGCAAATTCATGCTTTTGGTGTTGATGATGAATTGTGATGATGCCTTCAGTCTATCTTCTCTGCATTATGAATTTTTTTTTCTTGTTGATTGTGTTTATAATGTTCGATTTAACTTGATTGTTCTCTTATTGTTGCTCAATTCTGAGAGCAGAAAATAGGTAAAGGATTGCACTTTGGTTGCTTGCTTACCTTCAAATTGGTTTGAGGATCTCTTAATGGTTTATCTGCAGTGGTTTCCATGTAATTTTTCATTACATCTTTGTTTCCTCCTATGAATATGTTTCAATGTCATTATTTTCCTGCTTGATGATATTGTTACGAGTTAATCACTACAATTTGATTTAGTTTTAGTAACTTGCAGATTATTTTTGTTGAGACATCCTTAATTTCATGTCTTTGTTATCCTACTTCATTCTTATGGTCCGCATTATCTTGCAATTAAGATGGGATTTCATTTGCATTTACATAGTTGTATGATGTTTACTTTATCCATAATGCTATTTTGTTTGCTGTGATTATCATTTTCCTGTGTGTTTGGTAATTGTGATTATGAATTTCAGCACTGAGCATGGTAAGTTATATCTTTTCTATTTAATTTGTCTTTTCTCATAGATTTTTGGCTTACCTCAAAATCATCGAGGCTGCTGGCATCAGTAGGTTGAAATGTGGAATAATAATTTATCAGTAGATTCAGAGCCCTGTTGATCTCTAAAACCCGATTAAACTGGTTGCAGTAATCAAGTTTTGCCGTATTTATGCCTTCTTTATTGCTCTCTTCTCTCCTATTCTTCTCAGGCAACAAAGGAGCTGGTAGGACACCACTGAATTGGGAAATCAGGTCTGGCATTGCCCTTGGAACTGCCCGTGCCATCGACTACCTACACTCTCAGGGCCCCAACATCTCCCATGGAAACATTAAATCATCCAATATCCTCCTCACAAAGTCCTATAAAGCCCAAGTCTCAGATTTTGGCCTTGCCCACCTTGTTGGACCTTCGTCCACCCCCAACCGTGTTGCAGGCTATCGTGCACCAGAAGTGACTGACCCCCGCAGAGTCTCACAAAAGGCTGATGTTTATAGTTTTGGGGTGCTGATCTTAGAGCTTCTTACAGGCAAGGCACCCACACACGCCCTCTTGAATGAAGAAGGTGTTGATCTGCCAAGATGGGTACAATCCATAGTACGAGAAGAGTGGACATCGGAGGTTTTTGATCTTGAACTCCTTAGGGACCAGAATGCTGAGGAGGAAATGGTTCAGCTCTTGCAGCTTGCGATAGATTGTGCAGCTCAGTACCCTGACAAGCGGCCTTCAATGTCCGAGGTCACAAGGCGGATCGAGGAGCTCTGTTATTCGAGTTTGCCAGATGATCCACAGCCTGATGTTGTGAAGGAAACTGACTAAGAATCTGTGTGTGTCCAGGATGCCACAACAATTCAATTAAACAAGCCTTATCATCATCATCAATTTACTGTGCCCAGTTTTAGATTGTTAAACCTTCCGTTTATGTTGTTCTTTAATCTGGGGATGATTGTGTTTCATTAAAATTTAACTGTTTATTTTCTTTTTCTCAATCCCCACTGTAAGAGCCTTTTATTATTTCCTTTGGGGGGCCAAAAACTGTTCAATTTGTCATTGTTGGCTTGTCATGGTTGCTGTAATTATTACTTCAGCTTTTGCTTTTGCTTTTGCTTTATGAACCAACTTTTATGTTTTGAGAACTCCAGATTGGATGCTTTTATGGGTGGGAAATGAGATTGTAAGGTTAGGATTTTTTTTTTTTTAATAGAAGCGTGCTTTCAAAACACGTTTTAGCTTTTTCTATTAAACATCTGTTTTACAAATAAGTTTTTATATTGAAAAATGTGAATTTAAATTACGCGTTCATGAAATTTATTTTGATTAGAAAATAAGCTCAAAATTATTATGATAAGGAAACTAAATTCTAAAATTGATTCAATGTTTTTTTTTGTCTGGTGAATCATCCCATGATGTGAGGGTGGTGGTTAGATTTATATATTAAATCCGCCTAGGTAAAGATGGACTGTCTTTATTATTCTCGTAACTTTATGCAACCCCAAATTAAACTATTACCTTCTCTTTCTTGGAAGTTGGTTGCTTTTTAGCTGGACTCATTAGAAGTTGGTTGGAGACATAAAGGTGGCTGTTTAGTCATAGGAGTTTCTAAAGTTGTCTTGACTGTTTGTTATGGGCAGATGGAGGGATTATTACACCTCGGTTTGATTAGGCTACCAAATTTACAATTTTTGTGACAAGATATAGCTTTTGGAGATTTCTTATAGAAAAAAAGTTATAATTTTTGGGTATTTAAGATCGATCCTAAACACCCAAAAAAAACTACAACTTGATCCTAAAATTGAGTAATTGGTGGTATGTTGCCAAAACTTTTTTTTTTGGTGGTGTAGACTCGCCCATTACACATGGTTTGAAACTGTTATATACATTGGGTTTGAATTAAATCTATAGTAGATAATTTATCGTTAAATGAAATTTTTTTAAAAAGTGTATTAGATGAGTTTTCACTCCCCCAAATGTTGAGTAGGCTTTGCAATTGCCCTCGCCAAGTGAGACATCATGACCGTTGAACTAAAAAAATAGTAATGTTACACTTCTCATATTATATTCCAAAAATTTCATTTCAAATGAATTGATACTTTCTCACACCACACATTTTATGGAAAAAGTTAATTTAGGAACTCACAGCGTGTGTGTGTGTGTGAAGGTGTCAACTCATTTATGATAAATTTTTTGATATACAATTTAGGAAGCATAACATTATTCAAAAAAAAAAAAACCAAACGAGAAAACAAATATGTCACCAAATAAAAAAAATATTGATAATGGTTACAATTTGAGATTACCTAAGTCATGCTTCCATTTGTGTTATAATGACAATTTGAGGTTGAAAAGTTAAGCAATTTAAATCGCAAACTCATCTCGTTTGGAATTGTATATACTCTAAATCAGAGGACACATGTTATCCTTTTAATGCTAATATCATTTGTTGGAACAATTCTCTACCAATAAAAAAATTTAGAAATTATCCAGACGTCCTGAGTTTGAATTTTAGCAAACTCTTAAGGTCAAGGCCATGGAAAATTTATCCTTCGATCCTAAATGAAACTAAAGATGATTGATCCTACTATCAATCAATCCGTCATATAATAGCGTAGCTCTG